GTACGTTCAAAATAAACTCAAAAGGTCCCAAAATAGCGAACTAACGCAATCACAGGTCACAGTCATTCACAGTATTTTGTTGATGAAATACACAGGTTCAAGATTCACTTTACGTTCGTCTTTGAGCTGGTCACCCACCGCTACCCAGAATTTGTTCAATGAAGATTATTTAATTTCGACAAACCAAAGATTAAATTCGAAAGAAAAGACTTCAAATCAAAAGCATAAAAATTCCCGAAGCTAAAAACGATTTTCAGTAACTTTTGAAATCTTTCAAAAGCATTAGACAGAATCGAAATAATTTTGTTAATGTTAAAATCGAAGAGGGTACTCTGGCCTTGTTCGAAGTCCAACTTATACTAGCCCGTTCCCATTTAGCCGACGAATTATATAGAAATTCGACTTTGCGAAAACGATTCCCAAAATGTTTAACATTCTTCGAATTTCAGCTAAAACATGCCGATTCCCATTAAATTATTTACTACAATTGTTTTGAGACACATGTGCTGTGAAAAATGTATGCAAAGAGAAGAATAGAGAATACAGAGTGATTGAAATATTCATGCACACACAATATTTATAAGGCATTAAGAGCGATTAGTGGATAAAGTTAAAGTTTTCAATTCTTTTTTCCAACAGTTGTCACCGAATTTAAATAATTAGTGATTTGTGGTGGAAAAAAGCAATATACATTTCATTTGACTCAATTGACACCCATAGAATGAAAGAACAACCTTTGAGCTCTTTATCCATAGCTGAGACAGAAAAAAACTTAGAGCAAAAAAGAGATATATAAAGTTGCGAGCAAAAATGACACAACTCAGAATTGAGCGGAAAAGACGTTTTTTCGCATTTTTCTCGCTTCTGGAAAGCGATAGCGACTAGGTGTCTTCGGCTTATGTTGTAGTTCTTTTTATTTTCTACAATAATGCCGAAGACACTTAATCGTTATCTATTTCCAGTAGCGAGTAAAATGCAGAAAACTTGTTTTCCGCTCAATGCTGAGTTGTGTCACTTTTGCTCGTCAACTTTATTTGTCTATTTTTCGCTCTAAGTTTTTTTTCGTCTCAGCTATGGATAAAGAGCTCATAAGTTGTTCTTTTCTGCTATGGGTGTCAATTGATGTGCAATTATACCTACCATCCCTGTTATGTGTCCATATATTCCGTTCTTGTGACAGTTGGTTTAGCTATTGACAAAAGGTGGCACAATCACCTTGGATTCACACCATATGTTCCCACAGTTAGGGGAGCTTGCATTTGAATATATGTGATACCACTATGAATGCGATGTGATCCTTCTTAATTATTGAATATATTGCAAACGACACACAGCGAATGCATTGAATAAATAGCGAGAATTAAGTGCGGCTATTGGTAGTAATTAATCTTAATTAGTTTAATCGTTTCAAATATCGAAACAACTAAACTTAGAAATTATTCAGAATGTAAAAAAAATCCTTATAGAACAAGTGTTGCCCATATTCTTCTTTTTAGTTGAATTACTCACAATCATTTTAAATTCGATATCATTTTTCAATTTACAATTATCACGGAGGACGGTAGTCCGACCAGTGACGCTCCATATACTGTGCATTTTTAGCCACAATGTCAAAAAATGCACATTTTTGCGTCACTGGTATATATACAGCTCAAATGCTATTTTCGCAGGGCGGTACTTGGGCCCCGGAGTGCCAGGGGCCGTTTGAAAGGCCTTGGCCCAAATAGCCGAAAACGCCATACCACACTGGCCAAAAAAGCCTGTCTGCTCAAAAATACCTTGCTCCGTAAATTAGCCCCAATTTTTTACCCCCCTCCCCCGCAAGGGGGTGTCGGAGGGGGGATGTGGGGGTGTCCAAAAAATGTTGCACGTCCCCACCTATCCAATGCCGGTCCAAACTCCCCGATCGGTTCACAAACAAAAAAGTTATGGGCATTTTTAGTAAGTACTTGGTTTTCCAGAAGTGAAGCATTTTGTGCGTCTGCGCGTCTGTCCACTTTTTGACCCCCCCAAACTTCCCGTGCCGCTATGCCTATGTTGTAGCTGGCGTGGGGTCACGTTGAAATCCACCGTCAAAATGACTCTCTGTATTGCGAGAAAATTTGCTATAGCTCTTGGCCCCAAAACATCTCCGACTTTTACAAACGTCGATTTCTCAGCCCAGAGCAACGAAGACATCAATCTGGCAAAACTAGTTGCTAGCCATTTGGGGAGACCTTCAAAACATTCCATACACACATGGCCACTTTCACGTCATTTAAAAGAGAAAAGTCGATTTTTATGAAAAATCGATCCCCTTAAATTTCACACAAATGGCGATTACTCAAAATTGGCCCAAGAGTTTTCAACCAAAAACTGAGCGTTTGTAGCCGGCATCCATACGAACAAAACGGCATATGCCACATATCCGGGAAAATTCGTATTTCGAAGTTTTGGGCATAGGCAATTCATCAATGAACGGAATTTGTACGAAGAGTCGCATTCTACGATGAAATTGCTGCCAAAAATACGTTCTACTGGCTGAAAAAGGCTCACGAAAGACCATATCCGCTCAATTTTCGACGAGCAATCGATTAAAAGTGGTCACAATGCGATCTGAGGGAATTTCATGGTCGAAAAATAGGTCGGATTGAAGTGAATTTTTCAACTTGCTCTATTTTCACTGAAAATGACATTTTTGTTCGGAAAACACGTGAAATAGACCTCTGACTTTTACAAGGCACAATACTTAAAAAGTAAATACAAAAGTCGTGACGCGACATATTTTTCCTTATTGTGAATAAATTTTCACAATAGTGAATGCGAAATACACTTTGAAACATCGTTTTCATAAATATTAGCATCCCCAGCGTCACTTAAAATGATATCAGTCTTTTTGTAGAAGCAAATCTATGCAGGAGCGTCACTCATTTTTAACCTCGTCAAGAGGTTTTTCTTCTGATCTAATTTAAATGTAAAAAATAAATTTACAAAATGATAGCATTGCAAATGGATCAACAACGGCATTTAATGCTGAACGTCTTTGTTGTATTAAAATTTTCCAATTTTTTTGTTGCATTTATTCTCTGCATGCCTTCCCCTGGCTCATATCAACGAACAAACTTATATCATAGAGGGTCGCATATCATTGGATTAGATATCACATATCAATTCAAGTTAATTGAAGAATCGGTAAATATTTTATTGTCGAACCAGTTCGGGCGAAGCAAAGCGTACAAAAAACAAAACGTTCAGTGTCATCTAGTGGCAGTTATTCGGAAGCTACGGTGCTTTTTCTATCGCATCGCAACGCAACGCAACGCACATGAACAGCTGAAGCTTTGGATGAATTGATGTTTTTGAATTTGATTCTAGTAAACATGCAAATTTCGATTAAAAAACCAGAAAAAAATACGTTCCCAATTTTTTCGGCCAAACATAAGATCCTGAAAGTTTTATGCTGATCGCATAAGTTTGGTTTTGGCTCAATAATTTAATAATCGCGTCCAAATGATTAATTCCTACATTTTACCGCGCAAAAAACTTATTAAAGCGTAAATAATAATAAATTAGCCTCTCACTAGCGAATGCTTATCAGCGAGTGCATGCGATTAAAATACCCGAAAAGTCCAAAAGCAAAACAAAGCTCAGTTCGTTTCGAATAAAAAAATTAAACCACAAAATCGCCACATGTAAATAAAAATGAGCCAATCAATCGGTTCAATGTCAAGTTCGTCATAGCGACCTTCAGTTCTATTTGATGGAGTTTTTTCTTCTCGTTAGAAATGCAGTTACTACGATTATCATGTAATAATGACTAAGTGATGAGACATTTGTTTGAAAAATGGGTTTTTTTTGGTTTCATTTGAAATAGGAAGGAAAAAGAATCTAACACTCAACATAATGATGGAAAAACGATTTTTTTTCGTACATATCGGTTAGCAAACCCTTCCAGTAAATTACGTCACAGTTATTATTGCATTTTTCGAAGTGAAATTATTAGTTTCACTCTCACTCTCCCTCTATCTCACTAAAGATATTAGTTTTTCGGAATAATTTGCTGAGAAGCTGACAATTCGACATTCACCTTAACGGATTCCGCATCCATTACCATTTTGACGGGTCATTCAATGTGCTCAATCAATATAAAAAGCAGGTGTACACCACCAGCGTCAATAGTTCCAACGCTAAATGCGTTCAAAAAAAATTATTTTCTCAATATGTTGTTTTGAATGGATTTTCCGACTTTGAGCTCGTGATTATTTGAGTAGAAAGTTCCAAGGTGGCGTCATCGTTTGTTGATTTGATGGCCGAAAAAAAAACGAATAAGAACAGCAACCAACAGCATTATAATCAAATTTAAATCGTACCAGCTGAAAATAAACAAGAGCCAATATTTATCGGCTCTTTTGCGACACAAAAATAAAACGGGCGACGAGTAACGGAGAGAAAAATGGGTTAAACAGCGCATTTCATTTAAATGTATAGCAGAGAATACTTGTGCCGTTTTTTTTTCGTTTGTTTTGAATTGATATCACATGTTGACCCCCGGCGAGCGCGCGTTTGACTAGGTCATATCGATGAAATCACTTTTACGCATCACTATTCAATCATCATCAATTTTTAGTTTTGTTTTCAAATGATTATTATTTGTCTTCTTTAAAATTGCGCGTGTTCTCCCTCTCCTTTTTCTCTCTCTCTCTCTCCCTCTTTGTCGTTCCCAATTTTCTTCTCTCGTTCTCTATTCACAACACTCAAAATCTTGATCACACTCAATGCTCTTGCTCTTGTCATTCAATCATAATATTGTAAACGAAACAAATTGTTTACGTATAATTTTTGATGGGGATGTTCCAAATCTCGTGTTCCAATCACAATTTTTTTTTTTATTGAAAATGAGTTGACAAAGATCGCACCGATGCGTCATTCAATTGAAAGCATGTGAGTGTTTCAGGTCAAATTTGTGTCAATGAATATCACATTGTATTTAAAAACAAAACAACAACAAACAAAAAAACGAATCATATTTTAGCAATTTGCACAAATTGTATTGACATTCAAATGTAAGTGTAATTGATTATTGTTCTTTAATATCTAGATAAAATGCTTAAAAATTAGAGCCCTTCGTTTGTTGTGTCTTCTAATAAAAAACTAAAAAAAAGGAAAAAATCAATGATAATGGACAAGTTTGACGTTGGTTTTGTTGCTTATGTGTGTGTGTGTGTATGTGTTGGCTTGTCACTTGTTTTAGACTAGAATACAGCACTTTTGAATGCCAGGACAAACTCCAAGCGCATTACGAACACCGTCACCGCAACCATCCATACAATCACCGCCATACTGTTCGCATGGAGCTGGACGTGGTTCGACTCTATAGCAGCATTCCACACCCATTTCGCGGTCGGGGCATAAGCCACGTTTGTGACTTAATTCACCTTTAGCGCAATCACCTTCTTGGACACATTGCCCACCGAGCATCGAACATTCACGGCTTCGCTTATAAATCGGTACACCCTGATAATAGTCGAAAACTGCAAAATGAATACAACAAATTTTAGTTTGATTTTTGTTAGCTGCGGATATCTTGATTGGTTTCTGTTTCGTTCTAATATTTTTTTTCATGTTTTCAGCAATTTTCTCGTTCAATTTGGTTTTTTTTTCACAGTTCTAGCCGTTTTTCTAGAATTTTTTTTTTAATTCAAGTTTTTTTTCTCGATTTTTTCCGATCATTTCTCTTAATTTTATGAAATAAAAATCTTTTTGTAAACGAATAAAACTTGTATTACAACAACGCGATCAAAACTTGCAGAAAAAAAAATGGGGATCAAATAGACAACGATGAATTTGTTGTTATTTTTTCATTCATTTATATGGAACTTACTGGTTTCATCACTGATTATAGCGCAATCAGCTGCGATGGCGAACATAACAGCAACCAACATCACGGTGCTAACGAGTGAATTGAATTTGAATTCCATTTTTGATGTTATTTTTATGTTTTCCTGTTGGTAAATGAATTAAATAAATTTCACACTCTTGCAACAACAATAAAAAAAACTGTTCATAATCATCTAAGCCAGACACACACACACACACACACACATCGCTCGCTTCGAAATGTTTGCACGCCAAATAAAATTTATAATCAAATATGCAAACTGACATTAACCGAAAATAATAATTTGTAACCAACAATCGCTAGTAGAGAGCACATCAATACTCTCTCACACACATTTTTACACAAAAGGCACGTACATACACGCACACACACTGCATGCGGCAAATGAAACACTTACTTTTTGTTGTTTTATTCTATGTTTGAACGTTGGGTGTTGTTGATATTTTGCGTTTTTTTTCTTTCCGAGAGAGAGAGAGTGTAAACGGGCGCGCGCACAAGAGCGATCGATCGACAATTCAACGATTTCGTTGTTTAACGGTTACTTAATTTTCAACGACTGATTACATATTCGAACAAGTCGATTGCTTTTATAATAACAATTTCTTCGCTTTGCTTTTGAATATACAGACACATGTGCGATGTTGTTTGGTGATTTTTTTTTCGTCGTTCGTTCGTTCGTTTCTTTCTTTCACTTATTTCGTCTTCGTAATTACTCGATTTTTTTTGCGGACGCTTGTTTCAGCATTATCTTTTTGTCGCGGTGTGTGAACGCGTTCTGCGGCAGTGTTTGATCACTAGACCAGATTTAGTGGCGGCGGCAATTTTTCAAGCACTTTGGCAGCCGTGCATTGTCAAACACTTCATCCGCTTCAACAGATTTTATCATACATTTGCAATGAGACACACTTTTTTTTGCTATATCTATCAGCTACGACTTATTTACAAACACTTTCTTTGTCAATCAAATAGAATTTTGGGCCAGTTTGGTTTTGCAGTGACGAAATTTTTTTTTGTTTGTCCTTTTTTTCATTCATAGAATTCCTAATTCCATAGAAATGGAAATTTCAGTTGAAAACGTCTGAAATGATACAAAACTATTCAAGAACCGTTGAAATACGCTCCATTTTTTAAGTACATACAATATTTGAGTGTTCAACGATTTTTGTGCCAAAAAGTGATTACTCATCCCAATAATATGGTTTTGGATGCGGTCTTTTTGATCACTTATAACAATTTTCTTGATCGATACCAAACATTGGCTAGTTTTAGCGAGGGGCTTATGTGTCATGCGAATCTCACTTGTTAATACGAAAAATGTAGGATGATGAGATGGTGAGTCACTATAACTTAAGAATTCGAAAGAAAAATTCGACTGAATCGCGTTGAATCCCGTTGATTCGTAGATCTGTTATAAATACGCTGTATTTTTTGTGGTAGGACTCGCGAGTCAGTTTATATGAATTTGTGCGATTCAGTAGTAACTTGCGATGGCAAATAAGCCCCTCGTATTTATTACATTCATTCCATTTGCCTTGAAGTTTCATATAATTTTGATTGAATTTTATGTCTAGAGATTGGTGAATGTTAAACATAGTTTGAATTTCGCAAATCAGATATATGCAACTGTAGAAAATGAAAATACCAAACATATTAAATAAAATTTACTCGTCTTGTAAAAAAAAAATTGGATAATATTCCTCTGTCAGCCTGTCTCCCATTTACAAATGATGATTTCAAAGAAATGATGACTTTTCTTACGAAAACTTGCGAAAACTTAATATTTATTCATTTATTCATACCGCCAAGTACTGGCTGAATATGTTTTGAGAATGCACAAAAACCGGCTACAATAATTATCTCATTAAATTTTCAACAGATCATTTTCCAAACCTGTGGAAAAAATTGCACCTCCCCCTTGAAAATTAAGTCACTCAAAGTTCAAGACCAAGCAAGTTTATCTATCGAATCAATAAGTTGAAGCCAATTCAAGAATTCATAACATCAAGTCTTAATGGGAATAGATGCGTTTAGGTATTATGGTATCTGGCGTTACTGTGCCCATTTACAGTGTCAATTCGACACAATACTAGCGATTCTCGGTTGAGGCCAACTCGTCAATGGTTGCTACTCAAAACGAATTTATAGTTTAGATTAAATATTTTTGAATTCAAAATGATACCCATGTATATGAATGGCATCAAATTGAATGCATTTTGTGTGCGTTTCATTTGGATTTAATTGTTACAAACACGTTTCCAGTGTTATCATTTTAGTTATGAGAAAGAAAAAGCAATACAAATCCAACAACAAAAGAAACAATAAAAACCGTCTACCGGCTCATGTACATTTTATCACTGCAAAAATAAAAAAAAACTTTTGAGATTTCCATTTGCATGCACTATAAAATGCAAATGCAATTTGGTTCATTGTTTGTGGCAGCGCAATTCATGCGCAATATTCGTTGCAATTGTGTTGACGAACGTCGAATTTTATCAAATGTTCCAATCAAAAGTCTGTTCGTATTCAGGGACTGTGCATCAACAGTGCAGCCACTTGAACCCGAAAATCGATCACGAACACTTGATTCTGGGAAGAATAACAAGTGCGAATCGGTTCAACCATGTCTGCTCATTTCCCATAATAATCTTCAAATCTCTCTCTTTCTCTCGCTCATACATACATTTCGAGTGTCCAGTTAAAGTTATCGACGACAGTGCGTCAAACAGATCAGTTGTTGTAGTAAAAAAGAGAGGAGAAGAGAGAAACGAAGAGAGAGAGAGAGAGAGAGAGGGAGAGAGAATGGAAAAGAAAAAGCTTCAAATATTCACACACTCAACTAATTGTTTATTAATAGATCAAAATGCACGTGATTGTGTTGTTTACGCTGTCACTTGTGATTGGAATACTAGAACCCATGACGAAATCATTTATTAATTGTCCAATATTCAAATGAACACACACAGAGAGAGAGCCGAATGAATGATTGTGTGTCGACTGTCGTATCGCATAAACGCGCGATGAGTCATCACCTCGTGTGCGCATCTTCCAGAGAGTGAGAGAGATAGAGAGCCAACACACAAAACATGATAAGATAGTGTATCCCGAACAGATGACCGTATACTCGGGAATTTTACTAACGTTTCTTTTTAGCTACTCGTAGCCAAGAGTATACTGTTACATTGCGTACTATCAGGAATTCAAAACGAGAGCGCAGAACAATCAAAAATTCAATTCCATCCAGAACTAAGTCATTTGTCGTATAAAATTATTGATTTGTAAAATAAGTCATCGTTGTCGTCGTCGTCGTCGTCAAGGTCAGCCAAAGAGTTGAGACATGCACTGTTTTCCTTCAACGATTCTGATCAGTGATTGTGATTTCAGTTTGAGCTCAAAAGCGATATCGATCGGCAGTAAAACGGTCAATAATATAACCACTCAACGTCCTCACGCAGGCATTTGTACAATTTCTGGATTTTCAGTCCAAGGCCTATGGCCACTTCAATTGGCAAAATAAATTTGCCAAAACAGCCGGAGCCGAATGGAATTGATTGCCTTGATCGAATTTCATCGGTTTCATTGAACACAATAACATTTTGATTGAATTTGCTATTCAAAATAGAGCCAAAGATTCATTTGATATGACCAACAAAATGATTTGAATCTTCTTCTTTTATCATTTTTTTTTTCTTTGACATTGCAACTTTTTTCTTCCATGTTCGTGTCCATGCATCAACAATAATTGATGTAAACTTCGCTTTTTTATGATTCATTAACAGGAGTAAAGAGAAGAAGAACAGAAGAAAATGGAAATAAAACTTAAATTGCCATAACAGTTCAAATGATATACGACACAGTCACGAGAAGCAAATTAATGCGACGGCACAACTTTACTTTACAGAACTATTTGGAATATGAATATTTTTTTGATTTTCTTTTTGCTCTAGATTGCTTATGGTCACTTCATTTCATTTCTAGGGTGCGATTTGCAATTTTATTATTTACCGTTATTTTTTGACAGGTGTGCATTTTTCAGTATGTAAGCCTATAAATTCTCAGCCGTTGCAAATAAAGCATTGATCACTGTAGCAAAGTTTTAGTACTTCATCAGAGCTATGTAGCGCCCTGTACTAGAATGCACCAATCTGTACTAATTTGTACTAAATTGTACTTAATTTGAAAAAATGGTTCTGGTGCATTTCCAGCGATTCCTAGCAATTTTGGGAGGCAGTACACGTTCTAAATGGTACTAAGCTGTGCTAAAATGTACTGAACAATAATAAACAACAGAAATAAAACTAACCATATTATACAAACTGAATAAAAGTGGTTGTGGTAATATAAACGTAGAGAGGATCACATAGAACCTTCTGTATTACTTGCTTATTTGAGTTTGAGCATTCTTATCTTTCTTTCTGATTGTGAAAAAATGGTTGTGCCCACAGAGGTGGAGAGGGGAGCGCAGAGGACTTTCACTCGCGCGCTCGTTTGGTCGCTGGAAATGCACTAGGACCAATTTTCCAAATTTAGTACAATTTGGTACAAATTAGTACATTTTATTACAGTGCGCTGCATAGCTCTGCTGAAGTTCTAAGACTTTGCTTCAG